CAGGCCCAACATTCACCCCCTTCACCATCGTGCTGGATCTTGAGGTCAGGCGCCCATAGGTGCCCACTGGCAACTCCATCACCAGTCCAGTGCCCACCAATGCACTGCGCCCAGGATCCACAGTCATGCCATCGACTGCGTGCAGGTCCCATCCTGCTGACCCCAATGTGCCTCGTGCTGGCACCAAAGCCTCCTCACGGAGCAGTTTCACCTTCACAATGTCCTTGGCGCCCAACATCCTCCAGAGAGCCGCAAGCCCATATATCGCTTGATGGCATCGCCAATGATGTAGCCCGCTATGAGGACCAAAACCACGATCAGGATCAAGAAACTCCTGCCATCGTCATCACCCTTGGCCTCCTCCGTGTCAGCGACACCCTGGAGTGCCACAGCAGCCACAATCAGGCCAGCAGCCTTCGCAATCCGATCATGGACATCCGGATTGAGCCGCTTCAGACACATCCACTGCAGCCTCCCTGCCATCCCTGAGCAAGAGCTCCTTGATGAGCCGCTCATGCAAGGTTCCGGCCAACTGATTGGTGAGCCCATCCGCCGCCCAAGTAGCCCCCATCCAGATGCCATAGCATCCACTCCTTCTTTTCCACCGCCTCCGTCAAGGCGTTGGCCCGGATGCGCAAATGGCGCGTCCTCCATGACCCACTCGCCCCAGTGGCGATCGACAACGCTGCATTGTTGTCGTTGTAGATGGCCCCAACCATAGGTCCTTCAAACAGCTCGACCAACGCGCGGCATGCCCTCCCATCAACCAGCGCCTCCACCCGGCCTCTGCCGTGCTCAAGGCCACCGTGGCCTGCCTCATCAAGGCCCAAAAGACTGGCGCCCCAGCGTACTTCACGACCAAGCCGGTCATGCTTTTCCCTCCACCGGGAGCAAATGCTGCATCGTAGTGAGCCTCCATGGTCCTGCGGTCCCTCTTGATCGGGAGCTGGTGGTGCTCTCCATGACCGGAGATCTCCTCCACAGCGCCGTAGTACAGCCCCAAGGTTGGCGTACCAGCCAAGTACTTCAGCACCTCCTCACCGATCTTGACCACGGCTTTTGGCCGCTTGACCGCAAATTGAGACATCACAGCGCTTGCAAAGGACACTTCTGGCCGGGTATGAGAGGCTACCCAAAGGACTTCACCCGTCAGCGCCTGGGCATGCCGGATGCAAGCTAGCTCTGGCTCCTCCTCATCCTCGGTCGGCGCCTCGACCTGTGGCAGTTATCCCTTCGATCTCATGTTTGGCCATCATGAACCGGATGTAGCTTTCTTGATGTATGCGAAAGCCCCCACCATCCTTCTCCACATTGGCCTCGGAGCACGTCCACATGGACCTGAACTTTTCGATGAAGGCTGTCAACGTGGCACGCGTCGTCAACGTACACCGCGACGTGGCCATGGACCACCCCGGTCCCCTTGACCTTCTTCTCAATGAATGGCCCAAACATTGGCCTCAGGGAGCTTCACCAGGCGCCATTCGCCCTGCTCACCCCAAACCATCTCCGCCATCATGCCCACTCTTTTGGTGCAGTGATGGTGCCGTACAAAGTTCCTTGGACAAATTGAAACAGCCTGGGCGGATTGACGCAAAACTCTCATCAACCTCTCGGTGCTACTACCTCCAGGGATAGCAACCATTCTGGTGTGCTGGCTATCAAGACTAGGACCATTTTCTGCCCCTTCTTTCTTGATGTTGTGTATAGGCTCAAGCGGTAGGAGCTACCAGCGGTGCATCCAGCTTACTGGCTGCGCGGCAGTCATCGACCCTGTGGCTGAAGTCACGACGGTCCTCATTTCCGAGCGGTGCGTTGTGACAAAAAGGGGGGGGGACCATGCAAACAGGAGGGAATCCCCCAGTTGCCATTGGTAAGGCGAACACCTCCTTTTGCAGCTCCGAATTTTGCTGCAGCACCAAAGCCATCACACTTTCCACATTCATAGACCCACGAGGCCGATTTTCCTGAGCTTCATCTTCTTCAGGCCGCGCTTTCAATGCCATCGCAGGCAATCCACGACCTTCCCGTCCTCGACCCCGCTCAACCGCGGGAGGCAGAGATTTCGGCCTCAAGCTCCTGAGGATCGCCTCTCCCCTGATCCTTTCCGACCAGAATGGATTCACATCGATCCTCCTCTTTCCGGAGCTTGCCGACTCCATCGAAGAGGTCCAGCTCCTGGCTTTCAGCGCTCAGCTTTTGGGCTCATAACCCACGTGGAGACCTAAACCGGTCAAAAGGACAGCAAATGCCCTTTCTTCTCGAGCGCAAAACAAGGGCTTCGGTCATGCCCAAGTGACCACATGTTCAAGTGGCATCTAAGACGTGTCACCTCAAGACACAAACACAAGCGTAGAGTATATGTGCAACTACATTGTATAATATATATGTATTACAACCCATAGCCATTTTGGGGCTCAAGGCCGTTTCAGCTCAAACTGGCCGTCCCCTTGTCTCCATCAAGGGCGCTGGACTCCTGACGCCACAGTCTTGACCCAGGGCACCCGGCACTCTCTCCGTCTACGCCCCTGGCATCCCTGGCTTTGCGTCTTCGTCTTTCGGGAACTGAGATCCTCAGTGGCACCTGGACATCGCTGGATTTGGGTACGCAGCGGAAGTTGCAAGCCATTGTTGAAGATCAATGAAGTGTTCAAAGACGACCTGGCCCATCTGCCGGAACCGGTCCACGCCCTGGTTCAAAAGAGCTACAGAGCAGTCTGTGGCCACCTTACCCAAGCAGCAGGTGGGAGAGCTGCGGAACTTGTCTTCCAGAAGCAATCATTACGGCTCAAGATTGACAGCGCGAAGAAAGCCTACCGCGAGCTGGTGGATGACATGAAAGGAATTCAGGAGCGCATCACCTCCAGTCAGAAGCAGCTCCAGTGCAGCTTCAGGAAACCAAGATTTGATGGACCTCACCGTGAGAGAGATCATGCCTTCGCTGGTTGAGAGTTTATCCTTGCTCAAGAGACCGACGGAGGAACAGGTGAGCAAAAGACAGAAGATGGAACCTTCGCCAGGAATCGTCTTTGGGGTAACAGCCCCAGCTTGTGCTTAGATGAATGGCGAGTTCAAATTGGGTTCAAGTCTCTCTGTCAAACAAAGCGCAGCTGGATTAGATGGCTTGACAACTCTCCCTCTGAAGCTACAAGGAGGGAAGCTCTGAGCGCTTTGCTTCTGTGGCACCGTTTCTTATACCTCAGCGCAGCCTTAAGGACTGTGACTTACGGGACCAGAGCAATGGAAGGCCACAGGGGCACAAGCCTTTCAGGAATTTTAGGCCTCTCCTTGCCATTTTGGCCCTCTTGAAGCAAATTTGTGCCACAGGACCGGCTCTTCATTGCAGTGCGCGGTCTGTAAGGCCATTGGTCGCTTTTCTGCCAATGGCGCCCAATTGCCGCAGCGACTCTGTGCACCATGCATTCAAAGTGGCCGGAGGAAATTCTCTTTTCGCTGAGCAAGAGCAAAAGCACGATAGGAAAACACTACATCTACTCATGTATTCATGTCTTCATGCAAACAGTGTACAATTACTTCTTGGCGAGACAATAATGACCAGAGAGCAAGCTGCCACAGTCAGTTTTGAACCCGCGAGAATGCTTTCAGTCATACGGCCACAAACGGGTAGCGGCAGTCAATGCCCCAGGTTGACAAACTCCCCGTGGTGATCGCCAGGTCGCTCCGCTACAAGTTTCAAACATGCAACACCGGCCCGAAGTTGGGAAGGGAAGCCGACAGCTGGAGGCTTTCACCAATAGGAAAATGAATGCACGCACAATCTCTGTGTCTCATTCCAAGCGCCCCGCGCAGAACTCTCGGATGTAGCGAGCTTCGAAAGGTGCCCTGCACTTATGGCTTCCGGCTCAAGAACCTCTCCCTGCCCACCCTTGTTTTGCAGCCAGAGAGACGACGGCTTGAGAGGATTGAACGTGTGACGTAGGAAACATTGGCAACATTAATATATACATATGTATCTAGAGCCAATGCATCACTGTTTAGAGCCTAGAGTCTAAAACATACATATGTTCACGGATCATGGTGAGGTTGGCACTCGATATTTGCAAGCCCGACGTGGCTGGTATCAAAGTCGGCAAGAGGCTTGTGCGGATATCAAAAGTTAAGTTTCCCAAGGAACCAAATCATTATGTAAGCCTGAACCATTCAGCGTTTGATCGGCAGTAGTTTTTTATTTGAGTGGGTGCGTGGTTCGGAACTGCTCGCCGTGAGGCCCTGGAACTTCGGGGTGCACGGGCGCATGGAGGTCCCCCTCCGCAAGTCTGAGCGAGACCGAAGGAATTTGAAGGCAAAAGAGCTGAGAAGGATTGGCAAGGGCACCAAAAGGACCCGAAAGAGGTTCCAATGCCTTCAATGCAGAGTTTGAGTTACAATATGCAAGACTTTGAGTTTTCCCTGAAAACAACATGTTAGGATTTAACAACGTCGTGTCGTGGTCGCTTTGTTGATCCTTTTGTACACAGCCATCGAGCAACTTACATTCCTTCTTGACGCAGTTGTTTGGATAGATAGGTGCGATTTGTGGTGATATTTTTTCACTTGTTGTGCAGACATTTGCCTTGACGGTAGGTCGGCCAATGTCAGTGTTTCACTCACACAGCTCCAAATGTACAGGGTAAGCCAGTGTCGCATAAAGAGACCAATGGCCGTAACCACTGTTGGTCGCCTGTCATACTTTTCTCCGAAAGGGGCTGGCCCTCTTCAAACGTGTTGTATTGTGACAGTCGACCAATAGGGTGTGGACGGAGTGGTTTTGCGGATTGAAAAAGGCGAGAATCCGCCAAGAGAGATCACAAACTGAATTGGTTTTCTGCTGAAGGAACAGGAAAATCCCAAAAGGTGTTCAGCGATTTTCAGTCAAACCTGGATACTGGACTCGACATGCACCCTTGATTCCTTTTCTCGCAGTCGCTCGGGCGCCAGCTGTGAGTAACTGCTTGACTAACTTGTGGTCAGGGAACGTCACTTTTGCAGCTCCGTGATTGCAGGAAAAGTGCACTTCAGCAGAAGATTTCTCAGGCTGCCTTGATGACTGTGGGTGCTTTTTCAAAAGCATGTACAGACTTATGCTTATACACGAAGTGACCTCATTCACCCGATCAATTCCTTACAGTATTCATTTGTTTCGTTGGATTGGCAATTGTTGTCGGCTGGATAGACAAGGAAAGACATGGATAGACCATTTATTTTGTTGGAGTTTTCAGCAGTGCATACATGGTTGAATCTTTGCGTAGGCTTAGTAGGCTCCTCTCTTTGCACACCGAGGTCATCGAGCAAGAACAAACCGGACTCAAGTGGTACGACATGACGCAGTTCATCAAAATGATAGAGTTGGAGGCAGCCTGAGGGCTAATGATGCTAATGGGGATATTCAAGGCTTTCAAGGCCTTCTCAGAGACCTCTTGTCAGGCTAGGACACATCATGCACCATGTGCTTGTTCTTCTAGTTACAGATGTAGCTGCTAGTGGGAATGTTTGCGCTTGCTAAGCGGCATGCTAGAAGCTACTGAGCCCATGTAGCCACTGGCCACCGCTCACGGGGCCCAGGCCAATGTGACAAGACAGATCATCGGCACCCTTATGGCCAGATGTGCAGACTACGTCCGGGAGGTGGGAATAGACTGGTGCCGTGAACTGTAGCATAGCTTGGGAAGAGGACGCTACTAGGAGCAAAGGGCATCGCTACTAGAAGCAAGGACGCTACTAGGGGCTCCTGGCCTTACTACTAGGAACAAGAAGCTATTGGAAACAAGAATTAGTATTAGAATCTAAATTGGAATTCAAAGCTTGAGTTGCTTGGGCAAAACGGCGCTTTGAGGATCTTGGCATGAATCTCATGGTTGAGGCGAAGGGTGCTCACCTTGGCGGAAGCTCCAAGTAAGAGTGTTCGCAATGCTGGCACACATGCATGACCTGCCATTCATGGCCCTAAGAGCTGCATCACCATTGCACTCATTGGACTTGGGTCTGATATGTGGTATTTCAATCCTTATTTTTCTTGTCTGTCATTGATTGGGAATGGTTTTTCAAACCAACAATTACGAAAGCCAGCCGCTAGGCAAGGCTTGAGGTAGCTATGCGAACGAAGTGAGTAAAGGGGGTGTGGGGGGGGTGGTTGCGAGCAGGCCAATCTCGGAGAGGCTGACCCAGAGCCTGGAGGGGGAGAGCGAAAAAAAGAGGGCCACTTGGTAGTGAACATGAGTAGTTCTTGGGGGTGCTGTGATGCCGGTAATGTAATTGACGGCCAGTAGTGCATCAGGGGCTCAGGAGGCAATGTAAACCGTTTTCTACCAGGGGAGGGAGTTCATGTCAATGATAGGAAAGAGGGGACAACGGGACGCGAACAATTGTCAGAACTCCTCCAGAAAAGGGAGATGTGCGCCTCTCATGGCCAGTGAAATAGTGTGAAAGGGAGGTGTGTGTGTGTGTGTGTGTGTGTGTGTGTCTCTTGAGACATTGTGTTATCTGTGAGGAACCAGAATGCTGTGGGGAAGGTGGAAGACAGGCATAGCGTAGGAGGACGTGGTAGATGTTAGAGTTGCTTGGGGGCGCCCTGGTGATGAAGACGCCTGTCAACTATACGCAAAAGGGCACCCCATATGGGGCGCGAGTTCATGTAATGCTGTGGTCCGTTGAGGGCAGGAAAGAGAACAAAATGCAGCGGCGGGCAAGCTTTGAATTGTTTGGGGCTGCCCTTTTTTAACGGCGAAGAGGTCTAGTTGCTGGACTCAAAAGGGCACCCCATATGAGGTGGGAGTTCATGTGGACGAGACAGGCATAGTGGAGGAGGACGTGATAGGAAAAGAGGGATGAGAACAGGGAGGGAACAGAATGCAGCGGGCACTTGGGGGTGCCCTTTTTTTATGGTGAAGAGGCCTGTTGGGCACCCCATATGGAGGGGGAGTTCATGTACAAAATGGGCATAGTGGGGGAGGAGGTGATAGGAAAAGAGGTGGGGAGCTCACCAGGGCTCTCGCATGCTTCCGTTTGCTTTTGACGGCTTCTCGCCGCTTCCGCAAGCTTTGCGATGGCTTCTCGAGGAGGCTTGCGTTGTGTCGGCTGTGGTGGCCTCTCCTTGCTTCTGGGTTTTCGTTGCGTTTCATGGCTTTCGGTGGCGTGTTCTGTCGGTTTTGGTGGCTTCTCTTGCTTGCTTCATTGGCTTCTGTTGGCTTTTGGTGGCTCTTAGTGGCTTCCGGCAACCTCTACTGTAACAACATTTTGTGTGTTCTTGGGGAAGGCACTGCGCTGTCCCCAATATATCCGATTTGCTACCAGCTACGAAATTTGACTTTCCAGCGTGACAACCCTGCATTAGCTTCCCTTTCTTCCTTTACTGTTTTTTCCCTTAACTCTTGGGGGTCTGGGGGTGGAGCCTTGTTCGCGACCCGTTGCTTCTATGTTCGCAACCGTTCGCAACCGTTTGCGACCGTTCGCAACCGTTCGCAACCGTCCGCAGTAGGACGCTAAGGCGCTGCCATTGGGGGAAGCTTTTGCAAGTGACTTTTCATGGATGTGTCACGTGTCAGTTTGCGACGCTATTCCATTGTGATTTGCATGAAAATGACATGTCGCGCAAGAAGCGTGATGCATTTCGCTGCACAGGCGCAGTGGTTTGAGAGATCCGCAGTTTACTGCGCAGTTCCATTGGGATTAGCGTTTGGAGAGTCGTGTTTTTGGGGTGTTGGATGTGGCCGTGCCATTGGGATTTGCATTTCAGGGTGTGGCATCGAAGCTCTGTTTTCGTGACAAGTCTCAGCTGAAATGGCGATTTTGGTGGATGGGAGTGTGCTCAGAACGGGTCGAAATCATTCTAAACGTGTGGTGTGGTGCAAATTTTGTTGAAGCTCACGTGAGATGATATTCTCACTTTTCGTGGCAGGCACAGTACTTTGTGCTGATTTTGAGGTGTGGAAGTGCGATTTTCGTGGCAGGCGCAGGAAATCGTGAGGTTGCGAGGTGTGACGGAGGTGACATTTCGTGGCAGGCGCAGTACTTTGTGCGCGTTAGACGTGTGGATGCGGAAAGATTCGTGGCAGGCGCAGGGAATCGTGAGGTCGTGAGTTGTGGTAGAGGTGAATGTCGCTGTCACATTGGGATTGGCGTGTGAGGGGGTATTGTTTGGAGGGGCTGGACTCGCGAAACTGCTTGGCAGGGCTGCGTGATGTGTGTGCTCCGATGGGTGTTTCCGCTTGACTTTTGGAGGAAGTCTCGTACGAAATCCTCGTTTTGCAGACTTTGACATGTGAGTTTTGGAGGAAGTCTCGTACGAAACGCTCGTTTTGGAGACTTGACACGTGACTTTTGGAGGAAGTCTCGTACGAAACGCTCGTTTTGGAGACTTGACGTGTGACTTTTGGCGAAGCGCTCGTTTTGGAGACTTGACGCGTGACTTTTGGAGAAAGTCTCGAACGAAACGCTCGTCTTGGGCAGCCTCGAAGCGTGACTTTTGGAGGACGTCTCGTACGAAACGCTCGCAGGACTGCTTCTAGTGTGCCACAAAAGTGTCCCACAAGAGTGTCCTACAAGAGTGTCCCACAGCCACAAGAGTGTCCCACAAGAGTGGTCCTACAAGAGTGTCCCAGAAGAGTGTCCCACAAGAGTGTCCTATAAGAGTGTCCCACAAGAGTGTCCTACAAGAGTGTCCCATAAGAGTTTCCTACAAGAGTGTCCCACAAGAGTGTCCGACAAGAATGTCCCACAAGAGTGTCCCACAAGAGTGTCCCACAAGAGTGTCCCACAAGAGCGTCCCACAAGAGTGTCCTACAAGTGTGTCCTACAAGAGTGTCCCACAAGAGTGTCCCACAAGAGTGTCCTATAAGAGTGTCCCACAAGAGTGTCCTACAAGAGTGTCCCACAAGAGTTTCCTACAAGAGTGTCCCACAAGAGTGTCCCACAAGAGTTTCCTACAAGAGTGTCACACCAGAGTGTCCCACAAGAGTGTCCCACAAAATTGTCCCACAAGAGTGTCCTACAAGAATGTCCTACAAGAGTGTCCCACAAGAGTGCCCCACAAGAGTGTCCTGCAAGAGTGTCTCACAAGAGTGTCCCACAAGAATGTCCGACAAGAGTGTCCCATAAGAGTGACCCACAAGAGTGTCCTATGAGAGTGTCCCACAAGGAGTGTCCTACAAGAGTGTCTACAAGAGTGTCCCGCAAGAGAGTCCCACAAGAGTGTCCTGCAAGTGACCCACAAGAGTGTCCTACAAGAGTGTCCCACAAGAGTGTTCCACAAGAGTGTCCCAGAAGAGTGTCCTACAAGAGTGTCCCGCAAGAGTGTCCTACAAGAGTGTCCCACAAGAGTGTTCCAGAAGACTGTCCTACAAGAGTGTCCCAGAAGAGTGTCCTTCAAGAGTGTCCCACAAGAGTGTCCCACAAGATTGTCCCACAAACGTGTCCGACAAGAGTGTCCTATGAGAGTGTCCCACAAGAGTGACCCACAAGAGTGTCCCATAAGAGTGTCCCACAAGAGTGTCCTACAAGAGTGTCCCATGTCCCACAAGAGTTTCCTACAAGACTGTCACAGAAGAGTGTCCCACAAGAGTGTCCTACAAGAGTATCCCACAAGAGTGTCCTACAAGAGTGTCCCACAAGGGTTTCCTACAAGAGTGTCACACAAGAGTGTCCCACAAGAGTGTCCTACAAGAGTATCCCACAAGAGTATCCCACAAGAGTGTCCCACAAGAGTGTCCTACAAGAGTGTCCCACAAGAGTGTCCCACAAGAGTATCCCACAAGAGTTTCCTACAAGAGTGTCCCACAAGGAGTGTCCTACAAGAGTGTCGTGTAAGAGTGACCCACAAGAGTGTCCTACAAGAGTGTCTCACAAGAGAGTGCCTGACAAGAGTGTCCTACAAGAGTGTCGTGTAAGAGTGACCCACAAGGGTGTCCTACAAGAGTGTCTCACAAGAGAGTGTCCCATAAGAGTGCCCGACAAGAGTGTCCTACAAGAGTGTCCCACGAGAGTGTCCTACAACAGTGTCCCACAAGAGTGTCCTACAAGAGTGCCTTTCAGGAGTGTCCCACAAGAGTGTCCTGTAAGAGTGTTCCACAAAAGTGTCCTACAAGAGTGACCACAAGAGGATCCTACAAGAGTGTCCCAGAAGAGTGTCCCACAAGAGCGAACGTGTTTGCATTCGGGTTCGTGGGCTCCATCTTGTTTTTCTTTATCCTTTCCTGTAAAGTACCACGTCCTGTTATGTGCCGTTTGCCTTCATGCTGCAGAAAGGGCTTTGATGGCCAGACTTGTGCTCATGTGGGCTGCGGCTGAGGTGACAAGCCAGCATTTTGCCTCCCTTGCTACTCCATCAAGCGACCGCAAGGGTGTTTCGAGCATGTCTTATCTTAGTACTGGCTACATGGCCCATCCTTTTGCACCTCTCTATTCACAGCTTTTATATGAAGAGACTATGCGGCAGAGGCTTGCACCCTTGTGAGTTTGATTTTTGAATGGACTCAAGAAGACACGCCGGCCAGGGTGTAACAGGAGGGAGCAATTCACACCATCGTTATATAACATGACTTGAACAAACAAAAAACAAGTTATACTTCGCTACATGGTCAAGGAGCCTGTGAAGCCTGGCAGAGAGTTTGTAATTCTCTCACAGAGGGGTGATCTCGAGTCTCGGATGAGAACAAACGGCGTGTACTATGCCATGCAAGTGACTGCTGCCTGATATGCAGCGACTGCTGCACCCCCCACATAGACGTACGGACAACCACACGAAAGATCATAAGACAGACCAACCACAGGCCTGAGAGCAAAGCAAACAGAATCAGAGAGGGTTGGGGACTAAGCGCTGATACGGTTTTAGTTTTGGATGAAAGACTTGTTTGGAGCCACCTGCGGGCCACAGGAGGCTCTGAACTTGCTGTATTGTTGCAGAAAGCCAGGTGGTTCTTTTCAGATCTCGCAGCCCTTAGCTCAGCGCTTGTGAGACATATTGGAGTGACAAACATGGTGTACCCAGGTCTCCGCTCTGAAGGACTACCAGACAAAGTTCCCTGGCCTCTTTGAGGCAGTGGTTGCCATGAAGTGGTTGAACCCATGAGCACCAGTGAAGAGCTTGCACTGCAACTTAGAAGAAGACAAGACCAATATTTTGTAACATTTGGAGAGAGGGCTCGTCACCTATATAGAGTTTTCTTTTGGGACAGGCGTTACGGGCTCGCCGAGATCAAAGCAAGGAGATGACTTTGACACCAGTGTCCAAAAACTTGATTGAGTCTCTAGTGTTTGGCATGTCAAGTTGCGAAGTAAGATCGACAGGCTACGAGGCAAACAAGTTCATGTATTATATTATACAAAGATTTTGATCCCTGGAAACACAAGGTCTAAAGGCCCAAAGGAGGCAAAAAAACAGTGTAATTAATGGGCTGGCAAGGACTTAGAGCAGAGACAGATCTTCCCTACAAGCCGCAGCCGCAGGGATGGCGAAGCAGGATGTCGTTTCATACACTGTTTGACCTCTATATTGCATTGCACAAAGTCACATTGCGCCAAGCCAATAGAAAGACCTATGCATACGATAGTTGTGCTTGATACCTTTATGTTTTCCTGCTTGTTGCATATTTTAGACCCCCTGTTTCTGTGGAAGGAGCACAAGATTAGGACACGGAGTCTAAGTAATTTCAAGCATTGCATTTTTGTGTTTTTGTTTGCAATTTTGTGTGTTTGAAGCAGAGCCAAGCTGTACAGGTTTCAACAGCAACATTCCAAACCGCATGTGTATCAGAACTTGCAAGGTCTCTTGTTTGCAAGCTTGCAAAGTCGCTAGGTGAACTGAACTGAACTGAACGAACAACTTCTCCTCGCCTTCGACTGTTGGCTTCAAAAGTGCCTAATACGCAGATTCTAATTTCAATTCCTGCTGGGCCCCAAGTTGGAATCCAATGACTTTCCTGACGGGTGACCAGCCCTGCTTTGTGTCGAGTCTAGCCAAATACCGGTAGCTGCTGGTTTTGAATTTGCACTTCGCGCTCCACACCAAGCAGAGGCCTGTTGGCAGCGTTACCGAGGTGTGAACAAAGATTACTCATCAAGGCGTGGTCATGGCCTTTCGGTTCTTGACAAACCTGAACGGTTGTCTATGCCGAGTGTTTAAACGCTGATCGAGTGAAGAATGTCGAAGAAAAGCAAAGAGCAATGGACCTGTAACCTAATGTCACACATTGCTGGCTGCCTATCTCCCAAACATGAAATTATCATGGACATTCCTACATGCGAAAGTGCTTTAGAATGTTGCGTTTCTGTCACACTTTGCAGACAACTCTTGAAGTACTGCAATGCTTGCGAATGGAAGAAGCTTCAGAGCTGCATTTTGTGAGTCATCATCCTGAAAGTCTTGTCCAGAAGAGGAGGTGGTTACCGGGTTCTCAGTTCAGACTGCATACTACATCTTATATCTTTATAACTTAATACATCTTGTTTGTACCAAAGTTGAAACCCTCCAAGCCGCATCCTCCTCGTCAACGCGGGTGCTGTTGAGTCTCACAATGACGCCAATTGGAGTTTGGATTCCTGTCCAACACAAAGGACCAGACGATGACAGATCCATCTCATCTCACCTCTACTTTGTCCTTTCACTCACGAATGTTATTGAGTTTCGGCATTATTGGAAGCTTTTAACCATATCTCATCCTTAGAAAATGCAATAGCATGCGATAGCTGTCAAGAGCGGTAGATTGCCCAAGGCTCCGCTTGGCTCCAGTGCAGTACATGGCCATGACGGCTGGCTGCGTCGTGAAGGCAGTGGAGCCTTGGAGCGTGCTTTGACCGAACGGTTTGCGAAAGCGAACAATGCATTTGTGATCCTTTTTGTTTTCTTGATGTTCACAATTCTGTCAAGTGTCAAGCTGGTTTCTTGTTTATTTTGAGAAGGTGGCGGACGTAGTTGAAGACGCCCTCGGCCAGCAGGGAGAGGCCATGCTTTGATTGACAACTCTTGCTAATCCGTGGTGGGTCTTAGACTTAGACAAGCCCAGGATTTGGGAAACCGCTGCTTCCTAGCAAGAGGAATTTCAGGATTGGTGTAAACAGGCTCACGAAAGCCCTGAATAATCCAAGCTTCCACCAGGCTGTGACGGTCACTGGATGCTCCTCGTTCCACCATGCTGAGGAGACAATCGTTGTTCTATTGTTCCTTGTTTCTGTGTGCTGAACCTTTGCGAAACAAGTCTCCCTTGCGTTGAAGGACCCGTCTTTGCCGCCCCCAGAAATCTCAGGGGCCAAGGCCGTCGTAAAGCGCTAAGGAGTATCTAAAGCGGGGATGGGATCAGCCGGCCACTGTTTTCCTGCAGCCAGGATCTTGCGCTTGGACAGAGAGGATTTTATGTCAAGGTGACCGGATCTGAGTGAACTGTATGCCGAACCCACACCCCTGACGAGACGATTTAGCAAATTTAACGGAGTCAAACTGTACCAATTAGGGTGTTTTTGCAAATAAGCGCAAGGGAGTGCACAGTGGCATTGAGCAATGTGCCAAGGATGAGAAGTGTGCCTTGCGGTGCACAGGGCACCATCATAGGGGTGCGCAGCGGGTCAGTCTATGTCAATTTCTGTTGTTTATTCCTGATGCGTTCTGTATTTTGGATGTGTTGTATCTATGCGTTGCATATATATATATTCTTTATATATACACTTTTTGTTTCCTGTACCACGAATCCAGCATGAACCAGCAGCAGCTGCGGCAGCAGCACCACCAGCATGTTGTGGGTGGAGGTGCGGTGCGTGCAAGCCAATTTTAACCACCGCGCAAAGGTGTGCAATACGAGTGCATGCATGCAACACACAGCGCGGTCGAAAGTCTATGCTGCGGCAAGGTAGCTCTGATAGCTAAGTAAAGGATCAGTGGTTGGTGCGGAGGAATGGCTGTGTGTGCAGACAATGAAGACCAAGCCAGGTCTATGGAGGTGACGCTCACCAACACTTGGAGGTTCTCCTAGACAAGGCGCCTTTTGAGCTTCTAGAAAAGGCTTCGCGTTAATTACTGCTACGGCATACGGCGCATGGCGTGGCCAGAAGTTGCCGTGTAGCTTGTTGTATTGTGCTTCAAGAAAGTTGGACTCTTCAATCAGGGACAGCTTCATTGTTCATCGCCGAAGGAATGCTTTGGAGCGACTGACTTACATGGCCGCTGCCCACCTTTGCGAGGGTTTTGGCCTTGATTTTGTGGAATGTGGCAACTTTCGATTCGAACTGCTTTGAATCCGCGGAACAGTTCGCATAGCTTCCAAAGCGTTGAAAACATGGCGAGACCGCCATAACACGTTGGCTCAAGAAAAGACACGCCCACACGCAGCGCGACTTCCAAGGGTTATGAGCCCAAGCCATGACATCGACGACGATGCGAAGGCGACGAGCAACTTCGAAGGAGCCGACAGCTGATGAGCAGCTGGATGCAATGTTGGAGGCTGCAAGAGAAGCTCAGCCGAAAAGAGCGCAAAGCTTGGAACCGAGCAGAACTATGACCCCATCCTTGAAGAGGACTTCGTATGCGGCAGTGACGGACACTCCGGAGGAAAGAAGGGCAGTGGAAGGACAGCGAGCATTGCCTGCGCCTGAGGAACCTCGTGAGCTTGGTCCTCGAGGACCTCCGCAGGTGTTCATGCCGATGGTTCCTCCTCTGCCGGCGTTTCCACAGATGCCTATGGCATAATGGTGGGTGGGCTACATCAGGCACCACCTGCACCACCAGGTCAAGGACAAGGTGGAGGGCAAGATGGCGGCGGCGGCATGCCTTCGCTTCTTCAACCGGTACAAGAACAAGCATGGGGAATGCTCGCGGGGCTAGAACAACCCTACCCTGGTATGTGGGGGAATGGAGGGTCTACGGAACAGATGCCGGTGGCACCGCAGGGACGTCGTGAAGAACTACCTGAAGGAGTTCCTCTAGCTCGGGGACCCGGGGGAGTTGAACCTCAGGAGAAAGGTGGTGGAGGAGAACGAGTTCTCGAAGAGACAAAGGGTTCTGTGAAGAGTTCACCACTGAATCCCTGGTCTGCGGAAAAGTTGCGGGACCTTCGTGATCAAGCTCATCCAAGCGATCCTCGAGGACAAGAACATCAACTTCGTGGTGGTGGTGATCAAGTTGAACGTCTTCGTGAACGATGTCTGAAGGAGGCCGAAGCGAAGTTCCAAGAAGAAATTCGCAAATTGGGACCTCAGAGCTCGAACTCGTCGTTCCAATCGGCTGTTGAAGGTCCTGGAGGAACAGTTCAAGGAGAAAAGGCTCAACCAGGTTTGAAGGCTAATGGAAATGTGAAGACCATTGCGCCCATAGTCAATGTGGGTCCCAATGGCGTCGGCATGGGGTCTGTAGCCGTGTGTTGGCATTTTTCCGAATGGAAATCCCAATCCATCAGCTGAGGAATCACTGGACAATAATGCTCGGTCGGTGGAATTGCCGGTGCTGGGCCTGGAGGCCACAGCACTGACGTTTGGTGACTGGTTGACTACCTTGGAGCCCATCGCGTCGGAGATCAGCCAAGGAGCTAGTCATTGGTGGCAGCTGACCCTGAAGAGTGTGGAGCAGGCCTATGAAGCCTGGCTGGTTGCAGACCCACTCCAACGGCTACGTCTTGGTCCAGCTACCTCCGAAGAGGCGAACAAATGGCCTCGCGCAGAAAGGAGGATGCTTAGCCTGTTGTTACAAGCTGTGCCAGAAACCGTTCGTTCGGAAGTCATCACCGCTCGAAAGATGAATGTAGCTCAGGTGTTGTTCATCCTCTACATCAAATTCCAACCTGGAGGACAAAGTGCAAGAACTTGACCGAGCTCAAACTCACTCACAACATGGGGGATGTCGTTCAGGTCATTCGAACTTGGCGGCGTTGGTGGAATCGCTCAGAAGAGTTGGGGGTTCTCCTTCCTGATCCCGTTGTCCTTGCAGGTGTGTTAGTGAAGGCTTCGGACCATTTGGCAAAGTCTGGAGCGCAGGTGGCGTATCGGTTGGCTACGAGCAGGCAGCAGTTGTTGATCGATACAAGGCCCACCTTGGACAACCTCAAGATCTTCGCGGAGTTCCTACATTTCTGGAGGCGGAAGAGCTGTCGATGGGAGCGGGAGCCGGAGTTGGTCAGGGAAAGGGCCGTCATTGAAGGCAGTGGCATGCAACCCAACCTACTTCGGGAACTTCCTCTATACATCACTGACGAGTCCTTCGGTGGGGGAACTACGGGAGAATGGCGCCGGTGACAAAAGACGCCTGTCGTTTCTGGATGTCGGAGAAGGGGTGTCGGCGTAGCGATCGTTGCAAGTACAAACACAGTAGATTGAGTCCCAAGGACAACAGGGGCTTTCATTGCTCTGGCTTGAATCATAGCCGTACAGCCTGCCCGTTCTTGAAGAAGGAGGGGAAGGGTGAAGAGACGATCAAGGTGGCGAAGGTCAAGGGGGGAAGCAACACAAACAGCCCGGAAAAACCGGAGCGCGCTGGAGTCTTGGAGGAGGAGGCCAATGCTTCAACTTCTCCTGCAGACACATCGGCGACTGTTGTGGAAGTGCCTACTGGGCCAAAAACTACGCCTGGGGGAGGTGCTCCACAAGATGATGTTGCGAACACGGTGGGAGGCTTGGTGGGTGAGGCGACAGCGCTGCTAAAGTCACTTCATCGGGCTAAACTCATGGCCGTGAAATGCAAGCCAGTTGGGGCTTCACTATGTGATGGTGGGGAGCCTGACATCAAGGTGGGACTACTGGATGGTTGGGCAACACATCCTCTCCGGACAGGACTTCCCAGTGAGTTGGCGAAAGCGGAATTGGCGCCGGTGGATCTAGCACATGGTCGTGTGTCGCTCAAACAGGATCCGGTGACGGGCGCCATTTTGGTGGAAGGAGGCATTGAGCCTATTGTTCCAGTCCGGCTGGGCTACAAACTACAGTGGAGCCGATGGTGGTGCGTTGCGAGATGGGTGTCCAGTGGTGGCTGAGGCGGACGCATTGGCTCTCATCGCGGACATCGAGGAGGCGGAGCGCAAGAAGGTAGAGGGCCTGAATGATGAGGAGAACCTGGACGAGGACATCATGAGGTGGTGGCAAGAACGCTTCCCACAGGTGCCTTCCCGAGTGTCTCGATACATGTCGGAGAACCAGGAGTCAACAGCAGGTGCATTGCCTTGGAATCGCAGTGCGCGACGTCGACTACAACAGTCGAAGAAGATCCTGCTACACCTCTATGCGGGGGAGAAGGCGGAGGAATGGAAAAGGTTAGAACAAGATGGCTGGGATGTGATTAGTCTGGACATCACCAAGGGCAAGGACCAGGATGTTCACAATCCCCGCCTATGGGGTTTTCTGGCGGATTTGGCCAGAAAAGGGGCCATCAAATGTGTGGTTGGTGGTCCTCCATGGTTTAAACGACCTGGTCCTAGACCTCTTCGTGATCGAGAGCATTTGGATTGCCAAACCTCAGTGCCGGTGAACAGAGGTTGACCGACCGCGACACGGCCTCGATCCTCAAACGAGCTGGTATCTACTACCTGGCCGAGGAGGCGCGCGTCAAGTGTGACCTCGGGAGGGCGGAGGGCCCGGGAAAAAACACACCGGGAAGTGTGTCGCCTTCGTTTTGGAGTTGGGAAGAGATTCTGGCTTTGGCGGAGGAAGAGGGGATGAACGTGGTCAGCTTTGACCAAAACCAATGGGGCACATCAGGAAAAATACCTACAACGATCCTCACCAACTTGCCCAATATGACGGAACTCCATGACTTGAGAAGTCCACCAGGTCAAGACGAACCTTTGGCAGAGAACCTGGCGGAACGCATGGAACAGTCCAGGTCTTGGGCACTGTGGGCGTCAGGCTTCAGAGCAGCGGTTTGGGCATTATTGAATCTGTACATGGATCAGTTGATACATGAAGGTCCCAAGATTGCCAAGGCTTTGACTACAAGGGAGAAGGAGTTGTGGGCTCAACACTTTCGACAGGGGCATCGGCCTTTTCGTCGGGACTGTCGACTATGTGTAGAACAAATGGGGGCTCAACGGCCTCATCGAAGACGGAAAGAAGGAGAAACTATGACTTCTTCATGGTCTATGTCAGTGGACATTGTTGGACCTCTACCTCGGGCTAAAGATGTGACTACAAGCTACTACATGAAGTATGCCCTGATAGCCGTTGCATTGGTCCCGGATTTGGGGTGGGGGAAACCTACAAAAGAAGGGGATCCGGAGGAAGAACATGAAGACCAACCGCAAGAAGAACCGGTTTGTCCACCTGTGGAGGAGGATGACGCAGAACCGGGGGAGTTGGACATCATGAAAGAAGAATCCCCTGAAGAAGAAAGATTTCATCAAGAACTACAAGATTCCCTGGAAAAGGTCCCGGTGAAACATGTGGTGCGTGTGGAACCCATAGCATCCCGCGCAAAGGAGGAGGTGGTTGTGGCTATGCAGAAGGCATTGGCTAACCTCAAGGCCATGGGCATCTATGTCAACCGCTTGCACTCGGACCGCGCCAAGGAGTTGATTTCTCGGTCTATGGCCGCTTGGTGTGCGAAAAATGGGATTGTTCCTACGACTACAGCAGGGGATGACCCAGCCTCAAATGGACATGCTGAGTCAGAGGTGCGCCAAATCAAAAGAAGAGTTCGCTTCAAGCTAGCCGAACACGGTTGTGAGGTGGGGTCGTGGCCAGACGCGATCCGCTATGTGGCGGCAGAACGACGTCGTCAACAGTTGGAAAACTTGGGGGTGCCTTGCCTTCCTACGCTACCTTATCGGGGGAAGGTATTTAGAAATGGCGCAAAGATGGAGGACTCGTTGCACCATTTGTCGAGGCCCTCGTCCTAGTCACTTGGTCAATGGGGGTTGGGTGGTACAACTACAAGATGGTCGGGTTCTTCATGTTAGGGGGACACTATGGCGGTGGTCGCTGCTCCTGGTCCATCATCAGCGGGGGCGGAGTATTCTTCGTCGTCTTCACCCTGAGGCCAAAAGCTTCGACGTCGAGATTATGGGAAGATGCGCCTGAAAATTTCCCCAAGTCCTCAACTTTGGCCTCGGCAAGGGGTGTCAAGACTATGACAGTGGGGGTTCCCGCTGAAAGGTGGCTGCCCATGGAACTTGTGAAGGAGACGTGGGAATGGCATCATATGAAACTACAAGAACAATTGTCCAATTTGGTGAGAATGTAGTGGTCGTTAATGGTGGAGGTGGCCGGTTCAAGAAGCAGTGTGCGGAGGTGAGCACAGGCGCAAGGTAGATCGTTGGCCTGTGGCGGAGTGTGCGGATGGTGTTCCCCGAAATGCATCTCAAGGTGCTCAACAAGGACATGAGGTGGAATTGTTTGTGGGATGGCGGGATGAGCTGGAGGACAACTTGATTCAGTTGCGACGAGCGGAAAGGGACACTCGAATCCATCTATGTAGCCTCCAGGTGTCAGAGCCGGATGTCCTCCAAACAGTGACGGTACCTCTTCATGAAGTTCGAGCGCATCCTCAAGAATGGGTACCGGCCTTTCAGTATGAGTACGATGTACTTGTGAAGGATACGGACCGGAGGCGTGGCTCGTGAGCTGCTCCCTCCGGACACGGAATTGGTGCCAGGAAAGACGGTTTGTGTGAAGAAAGGAGGGACAGGGGCACATCGGGCTCGGGCGGTGTTCTGTGCCAACATGGCATCAGAGACCGCTGACCCTTCACCTGGACCGGCGGGAAGTTACGCCAGTGGAGCTGATGGTACATTGACTCGCTGTGCAGTACGCCAAGCGGCTCACGAAGGATGGTTGATGTCGGCTCTGGATGTGAAGAGCGCCTTCAATCCTGCAGGCCCCGAGACCTACTCCACCGGGAGCCAATCCCGTGGCGGTGGTTCCGCCCAAGATTATGTCGCAACTGGGCATATGTCCGGAGAACGAAGTTTGGATCGTTCGCAAGGCTTCGTGCGGCTTTCAAACATCTCCGAGCTTTTGGGCACTTCACAGGGACACCATGTTCGCCAAGTTTGAATGGATGGTGGATGGGGTTCAGTACAAGCTACAGCCCACAAAGGAAAGAAACCTGTGGAGGGTTCTGAAAATGGGATGTCCTACACCGGTGGGTATGATGTTGGTCTATGTGGACGACCTATTGGTTATGGGCGCTAAGTCTGTTCATGATGGGCTGGTGGCATTCAAGAGGAATGGAAAACCTCAAAACCAGAGTTGGTGAACTCGGAAGATTGGGTCCGCTTTTGCGGCTTTGAGATGAAGTACCATGGAGAGGAACTCTTGGTGGGACAACCTTCATATCTACAAGATCTACTCCGTCGACGGAAGATCGCGGCCAAAAGGTCAACACCGCCGCCGAAGGAACATGCTCACATTGTGGAGGAGGAAGACAACATCAAGATAGAAGAAATCCGCCAGGCGCAGGCCATTGCTGGAGAAATTTTGTGGGTGGCTGTACGCAGCCGTCCGGACCTTGCTTTTGCTATTGGAGCACTGGGGAGAGCAGTGACAAAAAGACCACGTTGGGCATTGCAGGCAGGATACTACCTGAACGCCGCTGACGAGTGCTTCCTGGCCTACGGAAGATGCAAGGAGAAGGACCGTGGCCCCGATGAGGCCTTGGCTCGAGAAAGGCATGAACCTGGTGGGGATCTACTGTGATGTTTCTTACGCTCCTCAAGGGGGAAAAAAGTGTTCAAGGCATCGTGGCCATGATTGGTGGAGGAGTGACAGCCTACAGGCCTTGATGACAGTGTTGGGGGTGGAAGAGCCGCCAGCGGTGATCACCTATGGAGACAGCCAAGCGGCAATTGCCATCGTTCGACAACCTGATGGTCAATGGCGAACACGCCACTTGCGCCTTCGTTCCTATGCTTTGAGGGAACGATCACGCTTGGGAACCTGGCAGATTTACCACCTTGAGGGAACAAGGCTGATCGCCGACTTTCTCACAAAGGCGATTGTTCCTGGTCAAAGACCGGGTAGTTGCGAGTTGAATCGCAAGGGGGAGCGCGGAACAGTTCGCATAGCTTCCAAAGCGTTGAAAACATGGCGAGACCGCCGTAACACGTTGGCTCAAGAAAAGACACGCCCACACGCAGCGCGACTTCCATGGAATCAATTCCATTTTCGCCCGACTGGATTGGCGTAGCTGGATTCTAGACACACTATTTTGACCAACCACTCTCCTAGCAGGTTTGTACACTGATTATGCAACTGACTTGATGTGCATCAACCGACACACACACACATATACTTTCTTGTATTCTTTCCTGTCGGCGTGGCGGCGCGCTGTGACCTTCTTGTTGCAAATCGCAAGTCCTGGAACGAACGCACGCAATTGGGAATTGCACAAAGTTGAGCCACATCGACATCCATCGAGTTGACGGATACTTGGCACTTAGGGTCAATGCGCCGATCTCGCTGCCGGACAGCCTTGCAAGCTGCATGCGCCTGCTCTTGACCATGGGTGCGGTGAAGCGTGAAGCGTGTGGACATTGCCAGACAGAACTTGAATCCCTGGCATTGATCCACGATCCGTTTTCTTGACATCGCCGTGCAAGAGCAGGTTGCGTGTTCTTTAGACGCACTGGCAACAAGGTCCATGCAGAAGCGACGCAGTCCACTTGATCAGACCTGGCAGGACCGCGCCAACCCTCATGTAAATTTTTTGAAGTGACTTCATTGAACGGGCTGCTGCTTGAAGCCCATGACCTTCATCGTATCGTTGGCCTGTCATGCATGTGTGCGGGGGCCCGATGTTGCTCATAAAGTTTGGCCTTTCTGTCACTTACCATGGCCAGGTGGCAGTCAATCAGCAACTCTTGGGTGCCATGGAGCTTCATGGTTATGGTGACGACTGGCTCTGAGGCAGACGCCCCGCAATGAATCTTGGCAGACGTGGCTGGGCAAGATGCAGATGCCCTTTAGTCGCCACCGTCAGCTGACAATGTGTTTTCGTTCAAGTACTGCAGGAAATTTGTTGGGCGTGAAACTCTTTCCAGTTACAAGACACTTGGTGCAATGAGCCTTCATTCTTTCATTTTTGTTTTCACCTTCCTCCGATTTGCCAAAATCAAGCGCGCTCCTTCTCTCAGCTGTTCTGTGCTCCATGCGGTGCCGTGCCAGAGCGCGCTGGTGCGGTTCCGCGGGCAAAAGCCCTTGGGCGCTGTCGTCGCAGCCCCTTCACGCGTGTGGGGTTGGTCGCCGTGGGCTTCGCGTTGTAAACCCAGGCATCGTGAGTGCAGCGGCAGCGGCCTGATTCAACATGTGTTTTGCCAGTTTGCTGCGCAACAGTCCTGCCGTCCCACCAGTTTATTCGTGCATCTGACAGCGGCGCCCAACAAAATTGTTGTGGGATGACTCGAAGTATATAACTAGTCGTAGTTTTTCCATCGTGCACTCGGACATTTTGGGAAAGGCTCAGCAAACGAATGCTTCGTTGAGCCCAGGATACAGATGCCTGCCTCCATGCGAAAGTTGGCATGTTTGCCCAGCGATTGCAAGCGCGTCAAACGCGCAGGACGTTTGAAGTAGGGCGTGGACAGGAGTTGGATGCAGTGGGGCCGGGGCATGTTACTGTCAAATTCCGCGTGGCCGTCGGACGCCGACCCCACGGCCAGGTTTAGACCCTTCTCTTCGCGGGCCACGTCAACAAGTGAGCAGACCCAAAGGAGACGCCAAGAAACATTGGAACCAAATTTGGCTGCCGGCTTCGAGTCCCAGCGAGGGAGGGAAAACAATTTTTGTGTGCCAGACAGGATGCTCGAGAAGCAGAGGGCAGGCTGTTGTTGGGGTTGCGTCTAGTGAGTCTAGTGTGTGACCAAGTGGTAAATGACATTTTGCTGGAATGAAAGGAGGTAAAGAAAACCTGCAAAAGTAAAGTGGTTGACGTGACCAACGGAACGGCGTTCAGGCAACGCAGCCTCTTTTGGACGAGAGGCAAGCATTGGGTGCAGCAGTGATGCCACTCTTTACTGATTTGGCTGGGCATTGAGAGCCACAAGAACTCTGAAAAAAACACTTTCAGGTTTTAGGTTCAGTTTACCTGGGTCCGGTGTAGTCTGCGAGACAACAGCAGATAGTCGACTTGACAGGCGCCAAAACCAGAGACTGACGAAATAGCCTGACGCCCAACGTTTTGCCCGCTGAGTCTTGCTATGTTAGTCTTGCAGACTGAGAGAGGACAGCGTCAATAGTATCATCTATCCGAACTGTTTGCTTTGCTCAATCAGATCCGATATCGAACATCTCATCGGCCCGATCGGCTTGGCTGCCAGAAAACCCTCTGATGACGCAGCCTTCAGCGTCGTCGAAGTATTTGGCCGAGTTCATTGGAACCTTTCTGCTGATCTTCACTGTGGAGTGCAACGTTTTGGTGGCTTTGAGCAGCAACCCTAGGGTTGAAATTTAGATAGTATAGTGTTTAAATGCGACTAGGTTTGTGCTGTGTACATACGACAAGTTTCGTGCTGTGTTCTCATTTTTGTTTTGACCTGTGGTGGTCTGGAGCTGCGCTCGTCTCATCCGATTAAACTGACGCAGGAATTGCGCTCTGAGCGTTCTGAATTGTCGAGATGAATGAAGTGGGATTTGTTGGCCCCACGGCCATGGCAGGTACATGTCACAGAGCAGCCCAGCAGACCCCCAAAGCGAAACCCACCAAGAGTCACCACGGATACCTACCGATTGGAGCGCGTCGCCGGTTTCTGCAAACCATGGGGTATCTTCAGCGCAAGCATGTGTGTGTATGTTTGTAATGAATGTAATGTAATGTAATGTTATGTTATGTTATGTTATGTGATGTATGTATGTAAACTTACAACTTCCAAAAGATGTCAACTCCTTGAGGCGGGATTGAAATCTGGACACCCGGAAATGTACATCGAGAGGGGGTACGCCCCCCTTGAAGATAGATATAGATACATATTTTTAATTGTGCCCGAGTGTGCATGCATACATACATACATACATACATACATACATACATACATACATACAT